CCGGCAGGCTCCCACGGTTCGGTCATCATCTGAAGCGGGCCCAGCCCTCGCGGTCTCCCCGCCGCTCGCATCGGGGCAGGCAGCCGCAGTTGCTGCACGCGGCCACCAGAGGACGGCGCCCGCTACGGTCGCCCACACAATTTGCTGGCGGATGATCATCGCAACGGCGCGCGTAATGAGGCCTCGCGGGGTGGGGGGCGTCGCGATAAATTGTTGCTCGGGTTTCTCCACCTTTCCGAAATGTTTCACCTTGCCCCGGGAGACACTCGGTGATACAGGAGCGAGTGTGCCTTGCAAAACACGGAGCTGGATGGCTCAGCGATTCCAAGACGCCATCGCTGTCCGAGTTGATTGAATAGAACCACTGCCTTCTTGCCTGATTGTCTCCTCCGTGTCTACCTCCCAGTGGGATTCGATGTCCGCGTCTCTGTTCTTGTCCGTGACTGTCTCTGTGTGTGTCTGGCTGCCTCTGAGTCCCTTAGCCGTGTCTGTCCCTCGCTGTGTTTGTCTCTCGGTGTCTCTTCGTGTCCTTTGTGTCGTGAGCCTCGTCGTGGTCTGTCTCACTCCGTGTCTCTTTCTGTGTCACGATCCGGGCTGGCTTCGTCTCGTTCTTACCGTCTCATTTGGATTGTTTAACGAAAGACCCTAAGAATTTGCACTATACAGCTTTATTTGCTCCGTGGGAATGTGCAAACAACCAGCCGCGTGTACGTGGTGCATATGAATGATACATGCGCATGGATTTTAAATCCACATTTAAAAAAACTAATTTCTTTAGAAATGCTTTTTGTGTTTAGTGTTGTTATCCTCACCCCCGCACCTCCGATGGGCACGGTTGGCTACGTACGGTGCGAAAGAAGTTCAACAGACACCAAGTTGACACCATGGCTGAGTGATTACATGGTGAGTGTAATCACCAGTTACCATCCACCAGTGTGTGGACCATTTACATAGGGCGGTGGGCGGTGCGTGGCAGACAGGAGCCACGAAGGGTCCATTCGAGTAAAACGAATCGTACTGTACAGCACAGGGTTATTGAAACAAGTTTTGCTGGCTGGCGGGAGGAACGGACGGGCAGACGTTCACGTCCAAGGGACGTTGGAATCAACAAGGTGCATGGGTCGTGATACACAACCCCTCCACCAGGTAGACCCCACTGAGGTACTCTATAGCTCACTTTCAGAAACGACCTGGCCACAAATGATAGCTCAACGGAGTGGCTTGTCACGTGGAGATTTATAGCAACCGAATACTCGAAACGTATGTGTTGGCTCTATATGTGGAGGGAAAAACCCGGGGGACCTGGAGAAAAGTCCACGCGACCACGGGGAGAAACACGAAAACTCAAAATATGTGGCAGGCGTCAAGGTCGGAATCGAACCCACGACCTCCTGAACACCAGGCGAGGTAGTTAACATCTCCTAGCCACCGTGATGATGAGAGAAAGAGACCACAACTCCAAATATGCAGCAGGTGTCAGGGTCGGGATCGAACCCACGATCTCGTGCATACCAGGCGAGGTAGTTAACATCTTCTAGCCACCGTGATGAGAGAGAGACTAAAACTCCAAATATGTAGCAGGCGTCAGGGTCAGGATCGAACCCACGATCTCGTGCATACCAGGCGATGTAGTTAACATCTCCTAGCCACCGTGATGATGAGAGAGATAGACTAAAACTCCAAATATGTTGCAGGCGTCAGGGCCGGGATCGAACCCACGATCTCGTACATACCAGGCGAGGTAGCTAACATCTCCTAGCCACCACCTCCATCGCCAACTGCTGCCACGCGGCATGAGAGACAGGGTAGGGGCATCATCTGAGTAAATATTCCTCAGAGAGTCTGTGGACTGATGGGAGTTGTGCCTGGAGACTGCACGTTAGCGTGTGGCGCCTGAGATGGTCGCACACGTTCTGAATGCAGTTGACGCGTGAGACGGTGTTGGATTGACATGAGCAGTTGCCATTATAAGACATGGAGCAGAAAACGCACCATGGACCCCCATCCGATGAGTAACTAAGGGGGGCCAAGGAAGGATATTGAGGGTAAAACGCACGGCTTGCCATAGGGGAAGCAGCTGTCTCCTCTGTCTCTTGTTCCCTCCATCACGCGAACGTGTTTATGTGGGCACGTGCTTTCTTGTCAGCAGACTGCGCTATGATGCCAGCAACCCAAGTTCAATTTGGGACAGTGGTGCATCCATCAATCATCACTGGCAGCTGCTGTGAACACTTTCATTAACAAGCCGTGTTGGACGAGACTCAAAGTTAAAACTGGTTCAACACAGTTGAAATCCACGCTTGTCTGTGGATTAATATTTATTTATTTGTTATTTTACTTCTTGTAGCCGAGTCTGGCTTCTCGAGATTTGATAGGCTGATATCTTCCCTGTGAATAGCCACATCATGGACACTGCAGGATGCAGGTCTGTCTATTCTTCATTCTGATTATTTGCCATATTCAATCCTCCTCTGGATCACCCATGTTCTATCCACGACTGTGCCGCCCCATGTCATCAGTAATGGCCACAATGGGCCCACCGTGGGATGATGGCCTCTGTACATGGCCATGACCCCTCAGTCTTGCAATGGCACAATCCATCTCATTCCTGCACAGGAACTCGTCTCATTGAGATGCAGCGATCATCCATGCGGGCGCGATCTCTGATTTGGATTCCATTCCACTACTACGAGTCTCGTTCATCGGCCATCATTCCTTCTGGCGATGAGTCCTACCAAACCTATGTACTTGTTTTGCAAGCCGACATGCGCCAGCTCCATGTGCGCGCCTCAATGGAGACTCCAACACGAAAGGACCACAGTGTCTGGTCAACGCATCATGGCCACAGCCCTTAGCGCCACCACGCATCGCCAAACATCTCGGAGCGGTGACAGACAGGCGCGTGTCTACACGCGACGACGCTGAGGACAGCGCTCACACGGACACCACCACCACCACACAGGCACCGTAGCGTGCGGGACAGGGGGAACGTAGAGGGTAGGGGCTGTAGCCAAAGGGGTATGAGCTATAACCGAGGGGGTAGGGGCTGTAGCCGAGGGGGTAGGGGCTGTAGCCGAGGGGGTAGGGGCTGTAACCGAGGGGGTAGGGGGGGGGGATGGAGGGAGGGGGGGGGATGGAGGGAGGGGGGGGGGATGGAGGGAGGGGGGGTGGAGGGAGGGGGGGGGATGGAGGGAGGGGGGATGGAGGGAGGGGGGGATGGAGGGAGGGGGGATGGAGGGAGGGGGAGGCATCGCGCACGGACAGGGAGTGTTGTACGGTACTTCCTCTGCTGCAATATCGTACAAACAATGAGAAGAAGAGGAACGGGCAGCTACGACAGAAGGTGCAGCAGTAGCAGCAGCAGCAGCAATGGTAGCAGCAGCAATGGTAGCAGCAATAGCTGTCGTGGCAGAAGTAGTAACAGCAACAGTAGCAGTACAATAGTATCAAGAGTAGCAACAGTAGCAGCAATTGTAACAGTATTAGCATAAGGAACAGCAATGGCAGCAATAATAGCAGCAGTAGCCACTGCAACAGTAGCAGCAGTAGTAGCAGTCGTCGTAGGAGCAGCAATAGTTGCTCGCAGTCGTCGTAGCAATAGAAGCAGCAGAAGTGGTAGTCGTAGCAGCAGCAGAAGCAGCAGTAGCAAACATAATTAGCAGCAGTAGCAACATAATTAGCAGCAGTAGTAATTGTAGTGGCAGTTATATCAGCAATAGCAGCAGTAGTAGCAATATCAGTAGCAGCAGTAATAGCAGCAGTAGAAGCAGAAATAACAGCAGTAGTAGCAAAAGCAGTAGTAACAGCAATAGCAGCAGTAGAAGCAGCAGTAGTAGAAGCAGTAGCAGTTATAGCAGCAGTAGTAGCAATATCAGTAGTAGCAGCAATAGTAGCAGTAGAAGCAGCAGTAGCAACATCAGTACCAGCAGTAGTAATAGCAGCACCAATAGTAGCAGTAGTAGCAGCAATAACAGCAGTAGTAGCAACAGTAGTAGTCATAGCACCACCAATAATAGCAGTAATAGCAGCAGTAGTACCAATAGTAGAATCAGCAATATCAGCAACAGTAGTAATAGTAAAAGCAGCAATAGCAGCAGCAGTAGCAGCAATACTAGAAGCAGCAATAGCAGCAACAGTAGTACCAATAGTAGAAGCAGCAATAGCAGCAACAGTAGTACCAATAGTAGAATCAGCAATAGCAGCACGAGTAATAGTAGAAGCAGCAATAGCAGTAGCAATAGTAGAAGCAGCAGTAGTAGTACCATTACTAGAAGCAGTAATAGCAACAGCAGTAGTAGTAGCAATAGTAGAAGCAGCAGCAGTAGTAGTACCATTACTAGAAGCAGTAATAGCAGTAGCAATAGTAGAAGCAGTTGTAGTACCATTACTAGAAGCAGCAATAGCAGCAGTAGTAGCAATAGTAGAAGCAGCAGTAGTAGTACCATTACTAGAAGCAGCAGTAGTAGTACCATTACTAGAAGCAGCAATAGCAGCAGCAGTAGTAGTACCATTACTAGAAGCAGCAGCAGTAGTAGCAATAGTAGAAGCAGCAGTAGTAGTACCATTACCATTACTAGAAGCAGCAATTGCAGCAGTAGTAGTAGTACCATTACTAGAAGCAGCAGCAGTAGTAGCAATAGTAGAAGCAGCAGTAGTAGTACCATTACTAGAAGCAGCAGCAGTAGTAGCAATAGTAGAAGCAGCAGTAGTAGTACCATCACTAGAAGCAGCAGCAGAAACGGGAGTGCGAGCGCCGCGCGTGTCCGATCCGCAGCATTGGCGCATGCGCCACACGCCCAGTGCCATATTGGAACAGAGGAGGAGGAGGGTGGCGCTCGTCCGGCCGCCGCCGCCGCTGCTGCTGCTGCCGGGGGGACCCCGTGGCGGGAGAGGTTCAATTCGCGTCGGCTGGAAAACACTTCCCTCGCCTGCTCCGAAGGTAGGGACGCGATGAGCAGAGCCTCTCAACCCCCCACCACTACTACCTCCCAAAGACTCGCCCGGGGGTACGCGCGCTCCCCGCGCTCCCCGCGCTCCGAGTCGCGTGAAGGATTCTCCGCTCGGCTCCGCTCGGCTCCGTCGTCTGCGCACTCATTCCGCATTCATTCATTATTTACGCAGTTGCACGGAACGCGTCGAAATAATTTCGCCGCGCTGTTGATGTGGGGGGGGGGGCGCGAAGAGACTTTGTGATGCGCCAACCCCGAGTCGAGTCAGCGTGTGTGTCACGCACGCGTGTGCGATTCAAACGCGCTCCGTACAGTGTGTGTCGCTTCCTTGTCGGGAGAATATCGTGTGTACACCATCGACACGAGCAGCAGCGACAGGGTGATCCGCAAACGCACCGATCCCGAGAGCGGCGTGGGGATGGGCCCTGAGCAGGGAAGTGATGATGGGTCCCCTGCGGAATCTCTCCCCGACGAGACCCCCCCAAGCCCCCCATGAGAGATGCAACGCCGGCCACTCGCTCCAGCAGGGACAATTCGAAGGCTTCCTACCCCCTCGGCTGTAGCGCATATCCCCTCAGTTACAGCTCTTATCCCCTCAGATACAGCTCTTATCCCCTCAGATACAGCTCTTTACCCCCTCTGTTACAAATCTTATCCCCTTCGCTGCATAATAAATAACCCCTTGGCTACAGCTCTTACCCTCCTCCGCTATCAGCTCTTACCCCTTCCGCTAACAGCTCTTTACTCTTACAAATCTCACCCCCTCGGCTACAGCTCATACCCACCTCCGCCACAGGATCCTATCCCCGTCGGCTCCAGCTCCTTGATGAGACAAGAGTTCTGCGACTGTCGCCTGCCCGACTCTGTGGGCCGCGCGTCGCGTGCGACCTCCAGGTCGCCCTGCCCGTGCACCGGAGAGTGCGGGGACAACGCCACCCCTCCTCCTCCTCCCCCCCCCCAAGACATCTGCGTCGACGCGGAACAGGAGGCCAACATTGTCCGGAGGGGCTCTCTAGGGCTCCATCTGGTGGAGGAGGCCCTTCCCGCCAGCGGGGCCGTGAGCCGGAACCTTGCAGGGCTGCGGCTCTACCCGAGTTGCGTCTGTGTTGTTCCTTGTGTCGTCTGTGGTGTTCCTTGTGTCGTCTGTGTTGTTCCTTGTGTCTTCTGTGTTGTTCCTTGTGTCGTCTGTGGTGTTCCTTGTGTCGTCTGTGGTGTTCCTTGCGCCTTCCGCGTCACACTTTCACAACCTTGCCAAACAACCCAGTTGATGTGGATTCGCGTTTCATCGCTCGCCCTTCGTGCCCACAGCTAGACACGCGCGCGCACTTTGTCGCACCTCCGATTAGCACGATTGGCGACGTACGGTGCGAAAGAAGTTCAACTTACATACTGGACATACGTTACAATCCCCCCCGCCCCGTGCCCTGCACAGATCTCTAGACTCTCAGCGCCTCGCTCCACACTGCTGGCTTCCATCTAGTTGAGTGGAAACCCACCGCAAAATGCTTTCATCTAAGGGGGATGTTGTAGCAAAAATATAATTAATGGACACTGAACTTTGTATGTGGATTACCTGCCTACGTATACTCTATCTCACTCTGCCTTCTTACTCAAAAACATCTCAGCCTAATTCTAGATTTGAAGCTTTCGTGACTGCAAGGATTCATATTCTTAGGCTTTTTCGGTAAAGTCACGTAGGTAAAAAATTAATATTAAAATTAATAAAAGTAAAATAAAATAAAAATAAAAAATCACGTTTCGGAGGCAACGCAAGCTTCCGTCTTCAGGTGGAACCGTCACAGCTACGACAGCTGTATCAAGTAAATGAGAGATTACAAGAGATACCACTCCGTATATATAATGGTTGAGGGGGGAAGGGCCATATTAATAAAAAGTGTGCCGTTCCTGGCCCTTCCCCCCTCAACCATTATATATACGGAGTGGTATCTTTTGTAATCTCTCATTTACTTGATACAGCTGTCGTGGCTGTGACGGTTCCAACATCTCAGCCGTTGCATTATTATGCAATGCCTGACGGACAAAATATTGTGGGGTGATCTTTCCAGCAACTGATTCGAAGGTTTGGTAGTTCCGGCCCTTCGGAGTTCTCGGAAAATAGGTTCGATTGAAGTCACATTTCAGTTTTCTAGCCCTTCTTGGAGCATGGTGACAATGTACATCACCCAAAGTGACAAGGATGTGGAAAATACTTTATATAATTGTAAAGGTTTGAACAAGGACACCATCAGCTACAAATTCAAAGTGCCTCACTGCTCACACAATGATTGACGTGGTGTGGTGCTCAACTCCTTGAGCCAATGGTCTAAATTCCACATTACGATGGCAGGGCCCAGTTTACCCATTGTACAATTACTGTTGGATTCCTAAAAGGTGGAACTCCTTTAAAATACCCCGTAGACAGAATGATGGGCACTCCCAGGGTGCAATGCCTAGCACATAGCATGTTGGCTGTTTGTATTGAGCAGCAATGTGACACCATGAATTAGCATGGTTGGCTACGTACGGTGCAAAAGAAGTCCAACATACATGAAAACGTGTACACATTCTGTGTGCAGTCTGTTTAATTATGTTTTAATATAAAGTTCTTCGTACGCAATTATAATACTTAATCCTGACATGTTCTATGAATAAATGTTTGAATATGGTCAGCAATGTGGAGAGGGTTGGATAGTGGATATATTATATCGGGTGCCATTCTGTTGTCTACCAGTGCAGGAGAGACTTTCTACCCCTTGGCTCTCTTGAGCAAGGCACACCTTGACGCCACGAATAATACTGAGTGATAATGGCCTTTGTTTTCTAGACTCACCGAGACCCAAGACTCAGGAATGTTCCTGCATTGGGATGGTTGGCCACTGCTATGAATCGGTGTTTATGGTATGCGGAGGAGGAAGTTAAAGTTACTGGAGTACATCTCTGCATGCGAGGGTACAGAGTATTTGCCTGCTATACATTTTCACGTGATAGGCCACTTCGTTGAGCTATCATTTGTGGGCAGGTCGCTTCTAAAAAAGAGCTACGTAGCAGCTCAGTGGGCCCTACCTGGTAAAATAAAAAATAGTTTTAGTTTATAACGTTCAACACTTTGCGTATGCAGTATTAAACATATGTTTGTACTGCCATCATCTCTAGGCCACATAAAAACCCAAGCCCACATTTAGTATTTCCTCTGTCCACCTACAGCTACCCAGGATCAAACCAGCTTAACTTTTGAGAGTTGATGAGATCGAGAAATGTCATGGTGATTTAGTCACGGGCAGTAAATGGTATTTGTTATATCGTGCCGGTGTTTTGGTTAGGATTAGGTTGGGGCATTGAGTTAGCGATACAGTTCAGGATAAGGGTACGTTGGTATTGAGGTATAAGTAATATAGTTAGTATTAGTCATGCTCTACGTATGTACTGTTGAACTTTTTTCGCACCGAATGTAGCCAACCGCGTTAATCGGAGGTGCGGGGGAAGGACACCACTTCCAATTAGAAGTTGCTATCAGCGAATCCACATTCTCGTCTCACATTTTAATAGAATGCTCTCAAGGTTTCTGAGGCGCATCCTGCCCCCTTCGGCCACCATTCCATCGGCCGCCAGACTCGCCTCTCGGCCACGACATGGGCTTCGCGCACCCTGCCAGAGCGCCACTTCCACTTGGCCGAGGTCTTGGCGACGTCTCGAGTTGTCGGCGGTGCCTGGGCCCCCGATGGCGCGCCATCATTATTAAGCCCCTCCGTGTGGTTTACAAGCAGGCGTCATCTCTCCGCACACCTTTGAACCTGCTGTAGGTTTCGTGCCTCGTCAGTGTACATTGCGCGTATACGATGACCCCCGGGCCAGCCGAGTCGGATTAACCGCACCCGGCCACCAACACCGGCGACAAAGATCTGAACCGGTCCCCGGGTTCTCCCTAGGTCGACTCGGCCTCAAACGAGTACCTGGTGCGGTGTGTAAACGTCGCCACTAAGGGGGGAGACCAAGGCGATCGGGCGTGTTTTCTGGGCCACCCACCCCCTCGTGTGTCACAGTGCCGGCCTTCATAGGTGCTACCGCTCGAGCACGGCACTTGCCCCAACAGTCTGTGAAGGCTACACGGGGGAACTTTGTCTTTTGTTTCCACCTGAGTTGAAATTCGTCTCGGCGGCCGTGCAGAAGTGGATTTGGTGGCGTGCAGCGAAACACCAAACACAACGCCGTTTAGACCCTGCAGTTGATTAACACGCTCAGACAGCACGGCCAGAGATGCACGCGGAGAGAGGCGGTCACAGCATCGGGGCTGGGGGGAGGGTTCGTGTTCGTCAACGTGAGGCGTTAGGTGGCTACAGGTTTAATGGTGGTGAGTGCTAAGCAGTTAAGCATTGGGGTTCGTGGCTAGCGCATTCGTGTTTTTATGGTGAAAGATATGGATGGGGGGGGGGGGGTGTTTGTAAATCACAGTATTTAAGAGTTATGGTTCGTATGTCGGGGACAAAGCGGCCAGGGTTGGTAGTCGTGATCCCGTCGGGTTCGGGTCAGCGAGTCGTGGGTCGTGGATGGGGCGAGCGCTCGTGAGTCTGCAGCGTCGTGAAGTGGCAGTGGGGCTGGAGACGTGGAGGCGGCCACCGGTCCCCGCGAGCCGCGGGGCCCCCACGGGGCCTCGTGACCTCGTGGCTCGCGAGCGCTGCACGCGCGGAGGGCCCCGAGGCGGCGGCGGTTGTTTGGCGGTGGTTTGGTGGGAGACGACTCGGGGTGAAGAAGACGAACCTCGCTCGTGGCGCCATCACACGGCGTCTCGCCGCTGCTGCAGGCAGCGAGCCGGGCAGCCAGGCGGGGTGGGTGAGGGCTGCCGCCGAGCTGCCGGCAAACTGCGGTTCGACCGCCGCGCGCGGTTAAACGCAACGACGGCGCTGGGACGGCGCTTTAACAACCAAACACACCCAGCCCCCCATTATATTTGTTGTTCATCAAACTGAATCGCGTTGCGAGAGTCGTGTTGCGTGACTTGCGGGGGTGGTGGTTTAACGCGCCCTGCTCAATTCTCAATTCAAAGGCAGTGGTTGTCATGAGCGGCAGACGTTGCCGCGGTCTGATGGAATAACGCGCTCTGCCTCGCTCGCTCTGCCCCTCCACGTAATTGAGGAAACACAAACAATGGGAAGAGTCGCCGTGACTTCGTCTCTTTTTTTAAGTCACCGCCGGACCTCGTCCAGGGCGATAGCGGATTGCAAGGGCTCGTAATGGCCAATGCGTGGAGGCCAGTGAAGGCCGGACGCGGCCTGGCCCTGCCCGGGGCCCTGGCTCCGAGCTGGGGCCCTCCGTGGTGTCCGCGATTCCATCGACAGGTTGAGGGAGGGTGAAAACAAAGCGCCCATCGATTCTCGAACGTTGTTCACTGGCGAGACCCCTCCAGGGTTGGTACAGGAGGAGCTCTCCGCTTCATTGGACCCCCTGCCCCACATCACGCGTTACAGAGTTCAATCTGTGGGGCCACAGGGGGCCCGAGACAGCCGAGCTGCTCACCAGCCACGAACGGTGCTCTCGATCAACGTTGCAGTCTATAAATTGACACGCGTGTGTATGTGTGTGGGTTGAGCAAGGTTGTAATTGTTATTTTATATATATATATTATTTGTATTACAAGGTAAGGCCCACTGAGCTTTATGGCTATTAGAAGCGAGACTGGCCATCGCTAGTGATAGCTCATCGTGTGGGCGTTTATAACAACCAAATAGTCTAAAAGTGTGTGATGTTGATTCTGAATGTGGATGAGGGAAAAATCGGAGGGTCCGGAGAAGAATCCAGGGAGAAAATGCAAGCAAAAAATATACAGGTTTGGCATCGAACTCACGACCTCCTGTATACCAGGCGAGGTAGTTAACATCTCACCGCCGTGGCGAGCTGTTTTTCGAGTGTAGTTATACAATAATCATCTCCTGTCAAACTTAGGGCATTTATATCTGTTGCTATGTTTGATTATTTATACATGTTTTAATTTCTGCAAAGTGTTCACTAAAGTCATTTAGTATACTGTATTCTCAATCCACGCGACCGCGGGGGTAAAGAGAGAGACGCAAACTCCACAACAGCAGGCGTCAGAGGGCTTGGCAAACGAGACGATATGGGAGGGGGCACAAGCATCTGCGTGTGACAGTGGTGTGAGCACCATATGTGGGGCGTATCTCGACAACATTGCAATGCGTTATCTTTCTATATGTTTGATAATTGACCATGTTTCATACCTCTAATTATTTCATATGTTGTCGATATTTGAGGACGCTTTTATTTAATGTTGCCCATATAAATAAGATTTGTACTTACAGTATATTGGCAAAGATGAAGCGTGAAAAAAAACATTAAAGCATAGCAAATGTCGTGCCATGCATGTTGCGAATTATTGTGTGTATGTTGAACTTCTTTAGCACCATACGTAGCCATCCGTGCTAATTGAGGACGTACTAACTGAATAATCTCATTCAATTATATTGTCGAACACCAAATATATGTAAAGAATCAAACATAGCAACAGATGTCATGCCATCATTAGATAATTTAATGAGGAGTAAGCTTTGCACCATTTTTTTAAACGATTCTGCGTTTTTTGTTGTGCAATGTTGTGGATTGATGGCACTTTTAATGCCTAATATTGCATTTTTTTATTCCTTAATTGGCTAAATCTTTTAAAAGAAAAACATTTGAAACTATATGATTTACCTTTTTAAAATTAATTTGCATTAATCAGTATTTTTTCTCTGTGTAATGTCTGTCATGAAACGATGTGGTTCATATTGATGAAACCTGACGACCAGAAAACAAAGACGGATCACGCATTGCCACGGATAGTTGTATACGGCTAGTTGTACACGGCTAGTTGTACACGGCGTACTGCAGGTGAAACGTGTCCGTGTGGCTGCCACGTGGAGTGCTGCAGTGGGTACATGGTTCGATTCTGACAGGCTGGCCCCGGTTAATATTCTGGGAATATTCTGGGAATATTAACCGTCAAAAAAATACGCACAACCTGCTTCACAATGGATGTAAACAGCAACAAAAAATCGTGGCAATTTGAAAAAGAGTAGGCTGTTGCGTTTCTGCGTCGTGGCCCAAATTTGCCAAATGTAAAATAAAATTAGTCGCGACTGAGTCACTTAATTGTTATACTCCTCTACTGCAAAACCACTGAGCAGTACCTTCCTGAAACAGAGTATTGAGATTCGGTGAGGCCGTTTTAAGTGTGTCTGCGTGTGCATTTATCTGTATGTGTGGTAAGCGGTAGTGTAGCGGTTAGTGTGCTACACTACGAACCCGGCAACCCAAGTTCGATGCCAGTGGCCAACACCAGTGACGAATATCTGAACTGGTCTTGGACCTCCCCGATGTCGTCTCAGCCTCAAATGAGTACCGGGTGTGGTGTGTAAACATCACCACTTGGGAGACAAAGGCGATCGAGCCTGGTGCTGGCCACCAACCCCCTCGTGTGCCATGCCGACTTTCATAGGTGCTCGCTAACAGCAGTTGTCCCAACAGTCTGTTAAAGGCTATATGGGGGATCTTGGTCTTTTTAAATCCTTTATATTAAGTTCACTTGCTTGCTTGCTTGCGTGCTTGCGTGCTTGCGTGCTTGCTTGCTTGCTTACGACCGTGCAAATCTTTCGGTCGTTTTTTAACCCACTTCCCGTGATTCAATCGGGCTGACATTTTGCACACAGACTCGTTGTGCGTGACAATTAATTTTCGTGAAATTTTTTTTCCACATTTTTACACTTTTTAGGAATTTTTTTGTATATTTAATCACCAATTGCTTAATGGTGGCAGGCAATCATCTGACCCATAGGTGGCAGCCATCTCAAGCCACGCATATAAAGGATTTATAGTGAAAAACTTTGTTTTTACGGGTTAATTTTTTTGTGTATATATGTGGGAGGCAATCTGGTATAGGTTAGTGGCGACCCGAGTTCAATTCCCGCTCACAAGCACCAACACCAGTGACGGCTATCTTAACCGGTCCTGGGCTTCCTCTAGGTTGATTCAACCATCAAATGAGTACCTGGTGTGGTGTGTAAGCATCGCCACTCGGGAGACAAAGGCGGTCGAGCCTGGTGCTGGCCACCAACCCCCTCGTGTGCTGTTCTGACTTTCATAGGTGCTCGCTAACAACACTTGTCTCAACAGTCTGTTAAAGGCTATATGGGGGATCTTTGTCTTTAGTCTCTGTCTTTATGCGTGCATGTGTGCTTGACTTTGAGGGTGATACTTGGCAGCTTTTGTGGAACCAACGATGCTGTTTGCTGCTCTCTGTTAACTCAGCCAGACCTGCGCCCGGGCAGAAGTGATGCCCTCTGCCTAGGGAGCCGAGAAGCGTGCGATGGAGAGTGAGGCGGACACCGCAGCCAGAGAAGCGTCTCACGGCCATCCTGAGGCTCAGACTGCCACGTGGGTCCCGGCCCATGCCAGTGAGTCAGGTAGGCAAGGCGTTTATTTCAGTACCATTGTCTTTATCAAAATCATCAGCTGTCTGTCACCTCCTTATCACTCTGCTATCGTTACTACCATGGTTACTGTTTCCATTAAATTATTTTGTTAATTCGTCCACCCATATAGAAGACTCGGTCTACCACCAGCCTGTTTTTGTCTCTTCCACACTTTTCAACCACCACGCTGTAGGTCACAACAACTAACTCACCCACTCATCCACTTACTCACTCACCCATTCACTTGCCACACTGCTGCAGGTCACAGGACGTGTCTTTCTGATACTTCCCTCCCACTGCTCCACTGCGGAATTCCCTCCCATCCTCTCTGTTTTCCCCAGGCGATTATAATACATAACACGTAGGCTTTCGCGACCAATGTTATTCATAATCAACGATTTTTGGGTTTAGATCGCGTTTATTTATAAATGTGTCGTAACCCTCCACCACCCGACACGGCCAATCAGTAAAAATGTGTCACGTTGACAAAGACAAATAGTTCACTGCTTTAGCCCACCGGTGTGTTGAAGCAACAACATTTACAATTTGAGTACGACGTTTCGCTGGTAATTGCAATCAGCATCATCGGGCAATTCGCCAGAATGGTGAGGCTCTCCTGTGTCTCCCGTTCTTATATAGAGCAGCAGCAGGGTGACGTCATCATTAACTCATTAACTCATCAGGTGCAAAGATTCAAGGGGGGAGTTATTGTAATTATATACTAGATTAGTAATCAGGCTATTGTTACGATGCGAGTTGTAGATTAGTAATCATTTGGAATGTGTTTTATTGTGATTATGCTACATTAGTAATCAGTTAGTGGTTGTTTCCCTTATAACCATGGGGTTCTATGGGAGGCGAAACGTTAACCAAAAAACTGTTAACTGATGTCACTATTAACCGAGGGACTACTGTAATAACCTTGTTTGATTCAAGCATCTCGTTAACTCTTATTCCGCATGTTTGATAGCGCTGTTTGTTGCTGGCCAGTTGATACTTTAGGCCTTTGTGTGCCTGCTTATTGTTTCTTTGCCTAGGCGTGTGCTGCAGTGAGGAGGGCGAGGAGGAGGAGGAGGCTTGGTTCGGCTGGGAGGAGTACCTCGACGAGATAGGAGCCGTCGCTGCGCCACACACCAGCTTCTTGCACGTGCGTGCACACGCCGGCGATGGGTCGGTTATTGAGAATATACTAAATGACTTTAGTAAATACTATGTAGAAATTAAAACATTTCTAAATAATTAAACATTACAAGAATTATAAATGCTCTTAAGTTTGACAGCCCATGATTACTTTGTGACTACACTCGATTAACTGCTCGCCACGGTGGCGAGATGTCCTCCGGTTTTTCCCTCCACATTTAGAATAAACATCATGCGTTTAGAGTATTTAGCTGCGATAAATGTCCACTTTGATAATCCACTTTGTTAAACTATCATTTGCGATAGTTAGGTTACTTCTGAAAAATAGCTTCATAGCTCAGTGGGCCTTACCTGGTAAAATCCTTCCCTAAGTCTCGAGACTCTCAGGAGGGTCCTGCTGAGCTTGCACACTAGGGGGTGATGCGCCTATTGCTAAGAAAACGAACCCCAGGTGGCGGTGGTGGTGATTATGACGGTGATGATGATGATGCGCCGCCACCCCCAACAGGTGGAGCGGAGCCTACAGAGCAGTCTCAGCGCCGGCATGCTTCTGGAGGTGGCGAACGGTGGCGCGCCGCCCGCCACGTTCTGGCCAGCGGAGGTGGTGATGACTTGCGGCCCGCTGCTGCTGCTGCGACCCGTCGGGCACGGGGGCGACCGCAGCGCCGACTTCTGGCGCGACATCCTGACGGCCGAGCTGCACCCCGTGGGGTGGTGCGCCCGGCACCAGCGCAGCCTGGTGCCACCGTGCGGTAAGCTACGTGGCGGGTGCCCGACTGTGGCGGTGGGGGGTGCGGAGGGTGGCACGGGAGAGGCCGAGGGCCGAGCAGGAGGAGGAGGAGTGGCAGGGCGCGGACCGGGTGGCTGGCTGCGTTAGCACTCGCAGAGGAAGTGCTGATATTTTCGTTGTGGGAATTTTCCCGAAATGTAATTCTAATTTTGTATGTATGTTAAACTTCTTTCGCATCGTACGTAGCCAACGGTGGTAATCGGAGGTGTAGAGAAGGGACAACAAGCTAAACACAAAATCCGTTCTAAAGAAATTCGTTTTCAATCTCTTTTTAAAAGTGCATAGTTTCAGTGGCTTACAAATATCGGACAGAAGAGCATTCCAGATAGCTACAGAAACGCATATGAAAGCGGGCGATGTAGTGACCGTCTTTATTCGACGTCTATTTTCTTTAGATAAGATGGGCATTGTGCCACAGGAGAGGGCATCATACGGATCCTCCACCCTGTGATGGAGAAAGGCCCACGGAACCAGATATCACAGAGCTACCTCTGAGAGCCCTTGAATATGTTCTCTGATCCACACAGTAGGAAGCTGAATTTTCCCACTCACCCTGCATATGAGAGTAATGTTCTCCATAATAAAGGTTTTTTGGGTTAGATCGCGTAAATATGAATGTGTGGGTAAACCCGCCACCACTCGACACAGCCAATTAGTAAGGTTTGTCACGTTAACAAAATGTGTCAATTCGTTACGACTTATGCACACTGGTGTGTTGGAGAGTAATCCCACAACATTTTACGTGATCTAACCCAAAAAACCTAATATTGGTCACAAAAGCCGATGTGTTAAAGCGGGTAATGTTTATCACGTGACAGTTAAATCCATATTTTAATACTGATAGGAACCTCCTGGTTGCACCAGCCCACAGGGGATCATTGGGTCCGTCGTGCAGGGAGGGGCTTGGTGGGGAGGGAGGGGCTTGGTGGGGAGGGAGGGGCTGGGTGGGGAGGGGCTGGGTGGGGAGGGGCTGGGTGGGGAGGGTGGGGAAGGGCTGGGTGGGGAGGGTGGGGCTGGGTGGGGGGTGGGGGGGTGGGAGTGGTGGGGTTGGGCTGGGTGGGGTTGGGCTGGGTGGGGTGGGGCTGGTTGGGGTGGGGTAGGGCTGGGTGGGGTTGGTCTGGGTGGGGTGGGGCTGGTCACCCCGTGGTGCCCTTATAAAACTCAACGTTTAACCTACTCACGCCGGCTTGTGCCTGCCCTCACAGTGGGGCATATTTACGGAATACACCACGCCGCCGTTGACCCTGGCAATTGACCGAGCAACCGAACGTTCCTACTAGCTTCCCTCGCAGGAATGTGTTTCTCAGAGCTGGAATTGTGGTGCAATTTATTGCGTAACGAAGTTGTATCTGATGGGTTTATTTCATGTGGTGGTAATTGAATTGGCCAAGACCATTGACACACATTGCACTTGAGCATTCCTTTTAATTACAGGCAGCTGCCTGGAATCGGCGTACCTGGAGATAACCCATGCTTATGAGAGGACAAGCACAAGTAGTACAGGTTGAAAAACCAATCTTGCTGTACTACCATCTTCAGGCCAACTGCTTTGCCTGACTGTCGAGAACAGTATATTTGAGGTAAAAGTATTATCCGGAATGCTGCGTGGATCAGAGCTAGACTCTGACGAAGCAGCTCGACGGGAGACTCGGCCGATAGCCGAGACCGGCATCGGAGTGGTCTCCAAGAGTCCGGGGACCAAAGGGAAGAGAAGGCCTAAGGCCAGGTGGTGGGAGACGGTCGGGGCAGATCTATTTCGCAGGTCGTGCTGCGTGTCCACTGTGAGCAGGCGTGGGGCCTGGCGGAGGAGGGTAGAGGGGAGCGGTGGGGCATTGATGGCTTTGTCCCCGATGGCGCCCCGATCTCGATCTCGTCCGTTCCCTGCAGTGATCAGAGAGAAGCACCCGCGCTGGGAGGCGCTGCTCGCCGAGGGCCTCGCGAACGCCCGCACCGCACCACCCAGCCTCCTGGAAGGGGTGAGCCGCTGCCCGGCACGCGCATGGCGCCGTCCGCTTTTGAGGGCGGGCGCCTTCTGTCCACATTCGTCTCTCCGCAGGACAAGCACGAGACTTGGTTTACACATCCCCTGGTCCACGCGGCCTTCTGGGAGTGTATTTCTTTTCAGCAGCATTGGTTTAATAAATGCAAACTCTTGCCCGGTTTCAACATTGAGTGTCTTGTCAACAGTCAGGGTTGATTTAGGTTAGGGACTCCTTTCTGTTAATTATTGGTCCTTGTTCGATGCGAGCAGTCTACCAGCATTGGTTTAAGTAGCTTCACTCTCAGTGGTAGAGTGACAAAAGTTAAAATCCTGAACTGAGCCCATCATCCCTGTGAAGTCAATAAAAATGAGTAGGACTTAGTGGAGAGGTCAACAACGGTCTCCTATGTAGACAACCCCCAACGTCATAGGAATGTGGAATTTCCATCGCTGGCTCCGGGCTGTAAACAGGAGCACCGTTGCCTCAATGCTCGTCGTTACATTATTCTGGTTGTATCTCCGAAACGGGAGCGGTCGGGCTCACGGGGTCTACGCCTTCCCTTACCGGGGCATCTCTTGCCCGCAGCCCAACCGTGGGCGGCCACCGGTGGAGCTGATCGTGCCGGGCGAGCGGCTGGAGGTGCGGGAGGCCACGGGGCGCGAGTTGCGGGCGTGGCCGGCGGCCGTGGTGCGCAACGTGGGCGGCCGCCTTCGGCTGCGGCCGTGCGGGCTGGGCCCCGAGGAGGCGGCGCGTGACGCGTGGCTCTTCTACCTCCACCCGCGCCTCCACCCGCTGGGCTGGGCCCGCAGGAACCGGTGCGCCGTGGAGCCCCCGGCCGGTGCGTGGCAAGCCGTCGCCGCCTCGTCTGCTCGCCCACCCCCCCACCCCTCGTGTGCTTTGGTTTCGTGTTCGGCGTTTTAGGACGGCAGTGCGGTGGTGACGTTCGCGCCACGCGTCAACAAGCGCTGCTTGGGTTTCCGGTACTGACCCAGGCACCGTGTGGCGTGGAGTTTGTATGTTCTCTCTCCTCCCCCCCCCCCCCCCCACCTGTTCGACATGAGTTTTCTCCGGGTTCTCCAGTTTCACTCCTCCGTAGAAAAAGCCACACACATACATTGCCATTGGTATTGGCCAAATTCTAATTACATTGTCTGTAATTGGTGTTATAACTTGTCAATGACATCCCATTGACATCCCAATGCTGAAAAAAGTACTCAATTGGGATCATACACACAGCAGCAGCAGCATCGCCCCCAACTGCGGAAACTTGGCAGGAGCCTCCTTAAAAAGAGTTGACACCCAGGGAGGCTTTCCTGGGTAAACAAGCAGAATCGTAATAATGAGTGAAAGAACGAGGCTCTTTGCACGGTGATGGTGTCGTCATGGCGGGGTTGATGATGATGGTGGTGGCCGCGGTGACGGTGAGCTTTGCGGTGGTCGTGGTGGTAGTCTCGGCGGTCTCGCACCACGTCGCTCGCCGACTCCTCGGCCGCCGTCGCCGCCCTCCTCTCTGTGCCCCCACAGCCGTCGCTTCTCTGCGCACAGCGGAGCAGTGGGAGGCGGCGCGTCGGGAGGCGTACGACCCGGACGCGCGGGACGCGGTCCCCCCAGAAATCTTCAAGGTGCGGGGCGTGCGGACGTTGCCGCTCTTCTTACTCAAGCGGAGACACGTCACACAATGGCGTCTCTTCTTTGGATGATGCCACGGGATCTCTATTGTTACACCCTTTAGCAGATGGCACTTGGCGTGCTTTGGTTTATATGCAGCGCACTATTGTATTATTTTTTACTTCTTTCGCACCGGACGTAGCCAACCTAGCTAATCGGAGGTGCGAGGGAAGGACAACCAATTGAACACAAAAGGCAGTTTTAAAGAAATGAGTTTTCAGTCCAGATTAAAAAGTGCATAGCTTCAGTGGGTTTCTAATATTGGAAGAAAGAGCATTCCAGACAGCGCGCAATGCAGTGACCATCTTTGTTTGATGGTTAGCCTAAAGCTGCTGCGAGGATGACCGGAGTTCGCGTGATGGTTTATGCTCCTTGACGAGATCAGCAAGGTATTGTGGTTCATTTGTGGCAAGCGCTTTGTGTGGAATGAGTGCGACCTTATAACACCTCGTTCAGCAACCGGAAGTCAATACAGCTCAGCAAGCACCGGATAGACATGGTCGGATCTTCCAGTACCCGTCACGACACGTCATGTGCCGAAGAATTTTGTACAGGCTGCAGCTTGCTGTTGTTTTTTGCTAGACGTCCCGTAGAGGAGTGCATTGCAATAATCGAGCATCAAACGCGCTTTGCCGGCCGCTGGGCCCGTGCGTCACCGCCCCGGGCACTTGACGTGCGACTTGATTGTCCGTTTTGTCTCCAGGAGGTGGCGGAATCGCGAAGCCATCGCTTCAGCCAGGGCATGAAGCTGGAGGCCGTGCACCCAACACTGCCCTTCAGCATCGCCCCGGCCACAGTCACCAAGGTGCGTTCGCCGACGCACAGCGACAACGGCCGCTGGCTCCTGCCGCTGGCTCCTGCCGCTGGCACGGGTATGCAGCTCAGATGAGAGAGGGAGCTACTCTCCCGCTCCTTTTCTGCCTCTCGCCACCGCGGGGCGCTGCGGTGGCGAGACGCTGACTCCCTTCGCCTGGGTATGCCGGAGGTCGTGGGTTTGCGTGTTCTCTCTCCCTGTGGTGGTCACGTGGAGTTTCCTCCGGGTCCTCCGGTTTTTTTTTTAAACATGGTTTAGTTTATAGAATACAATAAATATATAAGGCAGAGAAACAAAGAGAAAATATAAAAATCAGATTTATATAATCAATTTGAGTCTTCCTAATCCAGTATTTATGTAATCATTAAACATATCATGTCTGTCATAGGTGAAGGCCTGGGCTGCACAGTGGAACCTGGCCCTTCAATCTTACTTGCCAGCGTGAATGTGGCATTCGTTTTGTTCTTTGAGCCTTAGGCGTTTCCGCTGAATCCTAAGCAATCCTAGGAAGACCACCACCGCCCAGACGAGCTCAAGCCTGTGGCAGGCCCTCTCGTCTTGGTACAGCTAACACCTCGGGAGTAGTTCTCATTTGACGTTACCATGGCGAAGACCAGTTCACCGCAAGACAGACTTGCTGCAAGCGCGTGTTTGCGTGTGTGGGTTTTCGTATGTGTTTGCGTGTGTTTGTGTGTGTTTGCGTGCGTGTGTTTTCGTATGTGTTTGCGTGTGTTTGTGTGTGTTTGCGTGCGTGTGTTTTCGTATGTGTTTGCGTGTGTTTGTGTGTGTTTGCGTGCGTGTGTTTTCGTATGTGTTTGCGTGTGTTTGTGCGTGTTTGCGTGTGTGTGTTTTCGTATGTGTTTGCGTGTGTTTGTGTGTGTTTGCGTGCGTGCTTTTGCCTGTGGGGAGCGGTTGCACAGTGGTTTGTACACTGTGCTACTAACCCGGTGACTGGCGTTCAATTCCCTATCATGGCCAAGACCAGTGACGATCATCTGAACCGGTCCTGGGCCTCCCCTAGGTCGACTCGGCCTCAAATGAGCACCTGTTGTGATGTGTAAACATCACTACTAGGGAGACAAAGACGGTCGATCCTGGTGCTGGCCCCCCACCTCTTCGTGTGCCATGCCGGCTTTCATAGGTGCTCGCTAACGGAACTTGCCCCAGCAGTCTGTTAAGGCTATAACGGGGGATCGTTGTCTTGTTTGTGCATGTGTGTGCATTACAGTGTGTGTGTGCGCACGTCACAGTGTGTGTCGGACGTGGTGCTGGCCAGGCCCACCCTCTCGTGCGCCGTGCCGGCCTTCACAGGTACCGCTCGCTAACAGTACTTGCCCCAGCAGTCTGTTAAGGCTCTCCGGGGGGGGGGGGGGGGGGGTTTTGTTTTTGTGCTTGTGTCAGGTGCTAAGCGAGCGGTTTTTCGTGGTGGAGATGGACGCGGCGGGTGGGGAGGTGGCGCCGCTCGCCCCCCTCGTGTGTTCCCTCGATGGCCCCATCGCTCTGCCAGCGCAGTGGAGCCTCAAGAACGGGGTGCCCTGCACGCCGCCCCCCGGTATGGCAATTGTGGATCTGAGAACCAAACCGCCGGTGTGGCAGTGCCACGGGCGAAACTATGCCGTAGGTTTGTCCTGGCAGTGTTTACGCCGTTTGCCTGCATCGGTAGTTGTGTCCGTCGTGAGGCGAGACTCGCCGAGTCCCAAGACTATCTTTCAGGACCCGTGGAGAGAATTTTGACCAGTTGCACGAATGGGTGCATTTGATGCATTGTGCGTATGTATGTTCAACCTCTTTCGTGCCGTACCGAGCCAACCGTGCTCATCAGAGGTGTGTGTGCCACATCCATTGTGGGAGAAGGCCATTCCTGTCCTTCCATCCCGTGGGCACCTCTGTGAGCGCCCACAAACCTGCAGGATCCCCAGGCCTCGGCCTGCGTCGTGCTGGAACACAGGGTGTGCGTGTGTCACGTCCGTGTGTTTGTGTGTGTCATGTCCGTGTGTGTTTGCGTGTGTCACGTCCGTGTGTGTTTGCGTGTGTCACGTCCGTGTGTGTTTGCGTGTGTCACGTCCGTGTGTGTTTGCGTGTGTCACGTCCGTGTGTGTTTGTGTGTGCCACATTTGTGTGTGCTGCATCTGCGTGTGCGCCACTACGGGAACCACTTTTATGTAAATGTTGGCAGAACATTTTCCAAACTTGTAGGGAATAGGGATTTGTCTCACCGTCTCTTTAAGTGCCCTCAAAGTGCACCTAGCCTGGCACCAGCACTATAGTAACGTCACCATCACCTAGTTGCGATTGGCGGCTGTTGTGTATGTGTCTGCACTCGTTATGTCTGTGTTGTGTTTGTGAATGCCCTATGTCGACTCAGCCTTAACTGAGTACCTAGTGTAGTGTGTAAACATCGCCACTGGGCAGACAAAGGCGGCCGGGCGTGGTGCTGGCCACCCACCCCCTCGTGTGCTGTGCCGACCTTCATCGGTGCTTGCTAACAGCACTTGTCCCAACAGTCTGTTAAGGCTATACGGGCATTTTTGTTATATTTGTTGTGTGTGTTTGGTAGTGTGTAAGTGCGTGTATGTGTCTTAGTCACGGGCCTCTGCTAGGTCGACACAGCCTGAAATGAGTACCTGGTGCATTGTGTATAAAACATCAGCCCTGGGAGACCAAAGTAGCCGGACGTGGCACTGGCCACACCACCCCCTTGTGTGCCATTCTCGCCTTCGCAGGTGCTGCTCGCTAATGGCATTCGGCCCGACAGTCTGCAAGAGGCTACACGGAGGCATCCTGGTGCGTGCGTGCTCACGAGCGCCGGTGTGTGTTGGTGTGCGTGGTGTGCGTGGTGTGCGAGCGGCAGGCTATGAGGGACAGGATTTTGACTGGGCCGAGTACTTGAAGAGCTCGGGAGCGGAGGCGGCGCCTGGTTCGTGCTTCCTGACGGTACGCTTCACTTCCCGTGCGCCGTCACATTCGTGGGAAGCCACGGCAGAGGCAGGGCCGCTCCGCTGGACTGCAAAGTGGCCAAGAGGTGGCAGTACAGCAAGTAGATCACATTTGCCTAAAGACAAGGCCTATGTTATTTCCTAGTGTTCGTGCGTGTGGTTGGTCGATTGCCCGCCGAGTTGCCACGGTCGCTCACGGTGAATGCGTTGCTGGCAACAGTTGCCGCGACCTCCAGGCCTCCACCGGCGGAGACGCCGCCCCCTGTCCACGCCGCACCGGGAGGCAGTGGTCGCCCAGCTGTGTGCAGCGCTTTTCTCCGCTCGTTTGTTCGAGGTTCGCGGTTCGAATCCGGCGGCCGCCCTGGTTAATGCTGCGGGGATGCGAACGGTAAATGTACGCGCCCGTCCGTTTCACGGTGGACGGTTAAGGATCCTGTGACGTCATTCAAAAAAAGGGGGCGTCATGGACAACATTTGTAAAATTTGAAAAATTACCCCGCAAATTACAGTCTGCTCACCTATAACGCGATAAACGGGCCCAATTAGCACCCGACGTTCCGGACAAGAACGACTCTGAGTACTTGTGCTGTGAAGAAGGGCCATTGCCTGAAACGTCATCTATTATACAGTCTATTCTCCTGTAACGTGGCAGTAGTAGTTGTGCTTCTGAAGGACACCACGTTATGTAAAAATCGCGTTCTAATAAATTATATGCAATGTAGGGTAAAGCACGGTCCGCGACAACACGTGAGATGCGTACGCAAGATGAACAAAGACTGAGGTGCATGGGTAGCATCTAGAAGCATCCAGCAGCATCCCACCTTCTGGGATGCTATGCCAAGGCAGCCGCACTACTGCTTATTCACTCGATCGCGTTATACCCATATTCGCATCCGCGTAATAAAAAAAAATGTTCCCGAATGCATTCCTCGCGTTATATCCGGCACGCGTTATGAAAGCAACACGCGTTACAGGAGAACGGACTGGACTCGACTACCATTACACACTCGGCAACATCTCCCCCTTCCTGGGATTGCCCCCGCGCACGTTACAACGATAGCCGGCGGTACCAAATGTGCTCGCGATGGCGATGGTGAACGTGCGCGTGTGCATGCGTGTGCCGCAGGACGAGCCGCAGCACGGGTTCATCCAGGGGATGCGCCTGGAGGGGGTGAACCCGCTGCTTCCCAGCGAGCTGTGCGTGGCCACCGTCACACACCTCCGCCACCACCTCATGTGGCTGCGTCTGGAAGGTAAGGTGGCGGTGGCGGTGGTGGTGGTATTTTTAATTGTTGGGCGGCAGAGCCTCGGGTTCGATTCCCGACTCGGGGTGCCTTTCTGCATGGGGCTTGTACGTTCTCTCTCTCTCACCCCTTCTTCTGCGTGTTTTTCTTCAGGGTTCTGCGGTTTCCTCCTCATAATGAACCCCCCACCCCACCAATGTCGAGGCAGCTCTCGCTTTATCGCTCGAGATGCGTTCCTGGAGAAGTGAGCACTCGCCGAATCAGCACTAAAAGGGGTCGTTATTCCATTGTTGTAAGTGGGGATGCGTTCCCGACAGTGTTATTTGTTACGTATGAGCAATATTTATGAGGGCTTCTTCGGGGTATCGGTAATGGCGCCAATAATAATACAGATGGTAATCATTAGTTCATAGCTAAAAATAATACATTCTTATAACACCATCAAGTAAGCATTACGTACTGTACTCACGAAAGCATTCTACTGTACTCCGACATGGCAGCGGTGAGAGAGGAGGTTGGAGGAGCTGCTGATTCTCTCCCAGTCCGGGGTCACTCTCAGAGAAGGGTTGCAGGCCCTCCGTTGTCTTTGCGATGCCTTAGGTCTACATTTCTATGCTGAGGTTTCTTTTAGGCGTAGTGAGACTTGATCTTGGTCTCGTGAGTTCTCACCTGACTAAATAGATTTTTAAAAATGTCATCGTGATAATCGAATCGTGAGTGTGGGGTCTGATTGGCTGAGAGCGTGGGTCGCTCTCATTGGCTGATTGAATGATGGGGGTGGGTATGATTCTCCTAAGCACTATTTTGTTTTCCTTTTATTAAATTGTACGGGGCAAAGAGTGCTGTAATAAATCCGTGTTCTATGGAGTCGTGCTATGCAAGGTCTGCCTGCATTTAACTGGAATTGGCCAAACATCCCCGCTGCTGACAATTTACTGGCAGGACTCTGCCAAGCTTTCGCGAGGCTCTCCCGGGTACACAACGCAGTGGTAACGAGAGGAAGAAATCCGCGCAGGGCTTCTCTGTGCCCACGTTCCCTTGCGCGTTCGACTCCTCCAGCAGGGAGCGGAGAGAGGCTCTCTCTGTGCATTGGCTTGCAGCTTGCCCGTCCGTTTTGTGCCACGCGTGTGCGTGCAGGCCTGCAGCAGCCGCAGCCTGACTGCATAGTGGACGTGCGCTCCATGGACATCTTCCCCGTCGGGTGGAGTGAGTCCAACGGTTACCCGCTGCGGGCGCCCCGTCGCTCCCCACGTGAGCACCGGGGACGCACGGGGGACTCGCACGGGAGACACGGGGTGACGTGAGGGAGACGCGGGGTGACGCGAGGGAGACGCGGGGTGACGCGAGGGAGACGCGGGGTGACGCGAGGGAGATGCGGGGTGACGCGAGGGAGACGCGGGGTGACGCGAGGGTGACGCGAGGGAGACGCGGGGTGACGCGAGGGAGATGCGGGGTGATGCGAGGGAGACGCGGGGTGATGCGAGGGAGACACGGGGTGATGCGAGGGAGACGCGGGGTGACGCGAAGGAGACGCGGGGTGACGCGAGTGAGACGCGGGGTGATGCGAGGGAGACGCGAGGGAGACGCGGGGTGACGCGAGGGAGACGCGGGGGAGATGCAGGGGAGACGCGGGGTGATGCGTGGGAGACGCGGGGGAGACGCGGGGTGACGCGGGGGAGACGCGGGGTGACGCGAGGGAGACGCGGGGTGACGCGAGGGAGACGCGAGGGAGACGCGGGGTGACGCGAGGGAGACGCGGGGGAGACGCGGGGGAGACGCGGGGTGATGCGTGGGAGACGCGGGGTGACACGAAGGAGACGCGGGGGAGACGCGGGGTGACGCGAGGGAGACGCGAGGGAGACGCGAGGGAGACGCGAGGGTGACGCGGGGTGACGCGAGGGTGACGAGGGAGACGTGGGGTGACGCGAGGGAGACACGAGGGAGACGCGAGGGAGACGCGGGGTGACGCGAGGGAGACACGAGGGAGACGCGGGGTGACGCGAGGGAGATGCGAAGGAGACGTGGGGTGACGCGAGGGAGACGCGGGGGAGACGCGGGGTGATGCGTGGGAGACGCGAAGGAGACGTGGGGTGACGCGAGGGAGACGCGGGGGAGACGCGGGGTGATGCGTGGGAGACGCGGGGTGACACGAGGGAGACGCGGGGTGACGCGAGGGAGACGCGAGGGAGACGCGGGGTGACGCGGGGTGACGCGGGGTGACGCGAGGGAGACGAGGGAGACGTGGGGTGACGCGAGGGAGACACGAGGGAGACGCGAGGGAGACGTGGGGTGACGCGAGGGAGACGCGGGGTGACGCGAGGGAGACGCGGGGGAGACGCGGGGTGATGCGAGGGAGACGCGAGGGAGACGCGAGGGAGACGTGGGGTGACGCGAGGGAGACGCGGGGTGACACGAGGGAGACGCGGGGGAGGCGCGGGGTGATGCGAGGGAGACGCGGGGTGACACGGGGGAGACGCGGGGTGACGCGAGGGAGACGCGAGGGAGACGCGGGGTGACGTGGGGGAGACGCGGGGGAGACACGAGGGAGACATGGGGTGACGCGAGGGAGACACGAGGGTGACGCGAGGGAGACGCGGGGTGACGCGAGGGAGACACGAGGGAGACGCGGGGTGACGCGAGGGAGATGCGGGGTGACGCGAGGGAGACGCGGGGTGACGCGAGGGAGACGCGGGGGAGACACGGGGGAGACGCGGGGTGACGCGAGGGAGACGCGGGGTGACGCGGGGGAGACGCGGGGTGACGCGAGGGAGACGCGGGGTGACGCGGGGGAGACGCGGGGTGATGCGAGGGAGACGCGGGGTGACACGAGGGAAACGCGGGGGAGACGCGGGGTAACGCGAGGGAGACGCGAGGGAGATGCGGGGTGACGCGGGGGAGACGCGGGGGAGACGCGGGGTGACGCGAGGGAGACGCGAGGGAGATGCGGGGTGACGCGGGGGAGACGCGGGGGAGACGCGGGGTGATGCGTGGGAGACGCGGGGGAGACGCGGGGTGACGCGAGGGAGACGCGAGCGAGACGCGGGGTGACGCGGGGGAGACGCGGGGGAGACGCGGGGTGATGCGTGGGAGACGCGGGGTGACACGAGGGAGACGCGGGGGAGACGCGGGGTGACGCGAGGGAGACGCGAGGGAGACGCGGGGTGACGCGGGGTGACGCGAGGGAGACGAGGGAGACGTGGGGTGACGCGAGGGAGACACGAGGGAGACGCGAGGGAGACGCGGGGTGACGCGAGGGAGACACGAGGGAGACGTGGGGTGACGCGAGGGAGACGCGAGGGAGACGTGGGGTGACGCGAGGGAGACGCGGGGTGACGCGAGGGAGACGCGGGGGAGACGCGGGGGAGACGCGGGGGAGACGCGGGGTGACGCGAGGGAGACACGAGGGAGACGCGGGGTGACGCGGGGTGACGCGAGGGAGACGAGGGAGACGTGGGGTGACGCGAGGGAGACACGAGGGAGACGCGAGGGAGACGCGGGGTGACGCGAGGGAGACACGAGGGAGACGCGGGGTGACACGAGGGAGATGCGGGGTGACGCGAGGGAGACGCGGGGTGACGCGGGGGAGACATGGGGGAGACGCGGGGGTGACGCGAGGGAGACGTGGGGTGACGCGAGGGAGACGCGGGGTGACGCGAGGGAGACGCGGGGGAGACGCGGGGTGATGCGAGGGAGACGCGGGGTGACACGAGGGAGACGCGGGGTGACACGAGGGAGACGCGGGGGAGACGCGGGGTGATGCGAGGGAGACGCGGGGTGACACGGGGGAGACGCGGGGTGACGCGAGGGAGACGCGAGGGAGACGCGGGGAGACGCGGGGGAGACACGAGGGAGACATGGGGTGACGCGAGGGAGACACGAGGGTGACGCGAGGGAGACGCGGGGTGACGCGAGGGAGACACGAGGGAGACGCGGGGTGACGCGAGGGAGATGCGGGGTGACGCGAGGGAGACGCGGGGTGACGCGAGGGAGACGCGGGGGAGACATGGGGGAGACGCGGGGTGACGCGAGGGAGACGCGGGGTGACGCGAGGGAGACGCGGGGTGACGCGGGGGAGACGCGGGGTGATGCGAGGGAGACGCGGGGTGACGCGAGGGAGACACGAGGGAGACGCGGGGTGACGCGAGGGAGACGCGGGGTGACGCGGGGGAGACGCGGGGTGATGCGAGGGAGACGCGGGGTGACGCGAGGGAGACACGAGGGAGACGCGGGGTGACGCGAGGGAGATGCGGGGTGACGCGAGGGAGACGCGGGGTGACGCGAGGGAGACGCGGGGGAGACATGGGGGAGACGCGGGGTGACGCGAGGGAGACGCGGGGTGACGCGAGGGAGACGCGGGGTGACGCGAGGGAGACGCGGGGTGACGCGAGGGAGACGCGGGGTGACGCGAGGGAGACGCGGGGTGATGCGAGGGAGACGCGGGGTGACACGAGGGAGACACGGGGGAGACGCGGGGTGACGCGAGGGAGACGCGAGGGAGATGCGGGGTGACGCGGGGTAGACGCGGGGGAGACACGAGGGAGACACGGGGTGACGCGAGGGAGACACGAGGGAGACGCGGGGTGACGCGAGGGAGGCGCAAGGGAGACACGGGGTGACGCGAGGGTGACGCGAGGGAGACGAGGGAGACGTGGGGTGACGCGAGGGAGACACGAGGGAGACGCGAGGGAGACGCGGGGTGACGCGAGGGAGACACGAGGGAGACGCGGGGTGACACGAGGGAGATGCGGGGTGACGCGAGGGAGACGCGGGGTGACGCGGGGGAGACATGGGGGAGACGCGGGGGTGACACGAGGGAGACGCGGGGTGACGCGAGGGAGACGCGAGGGAGACGCGGGGTGACGCGGGGTGACGCGGGGTGACGCGAGGGAGACGAGGGAGACGTGGGGTGACGCGAGGGAGACACGAGGGAGACGCGAGGGAGACGTGGGGTGACGCGAGGGAGACGCGGGGTGACGCGAGGGAGACGCGGGGGAGACGCGGGGTGATGCGAGGGAGACGCGAGGGAGACGCGAGGGAGACGTGGGGTGACGCGAGGGAGACGCGGGGTGACACGAGGGAGACGCGGGGGAGGCGCGGGGTGATGCGAGGGAGACGCGGGGTGACACGGGGGAGACGCGGGGTGACGCGAGGGAGACGCGAGGGAGACGCGGGGTGACGTGGGGGAGACGCGGGGGAGACACGAGGGAGACATGGGGTGACGCGAGGGAGACACGAGGGTGACGCGAGGGAGACGCGGGGTGACGCGAGGGAGACACGAGGGAGACGCGGGGTGACGCGAGGGAGATGCGGGGTGACGCGAGGGAGACGCGGGGTGACGCGAGGGAGACGCGGGGGAGACATGGGGGAGACGCGGGGTGACGCGAGGGAGACGCGGGGTGACGCGGGGGAGACGCGGGGTGACGCGAGGGAGACGCGGGGTGACGCGGGGGAGACGCGGGGTGATGCGAGGGAGACGCGGGGTGACACGAGGGAAACGCGGGGGAGACGCGGGGTAACGCGAGGGAGACGCGAGGGAGATGCGGGGTGACGCGGGGGAGACGCGGGGGAGACGCGGGGTGACGCGAGGGAGACGCGAGGGAGATGCGGGGTGACGCGGGGGAGACGCGGGGTGATGCGGGGGAGACGCGGGGTGACGCGAGGGAGACGCGAGCGAGACGCGGGGTGACGCGGGGGAGACGCGGGGGAGACGCGGGGTGATGCGTGGGAGACGCGGGGTGACACGAGGGAGACGCGGGGGAGACGCGGGGTGACGCGAGGGAGACGCGGGGTGACGCGGGGTGACGCGAGGGAGACGAGGGAGACGTGGGGTGACGCGAGGGAGACACGAGGGAGACGCGAGGGAGACGCGGGGTGACGCGAGGGAGACACGAGGGAGACGTGGGGTGACGCGAGGGAGACGCGAGGGAGACGCGGGGAGACGCGGGGGAGACACGAGGGAGACATGGGGTGACGCGAGGGAGACACGAGGGTGACGCGAGGGAGACGCGGGGTGACGCGAGGGAGACACGAGGGAGACGCGGGGTGACGCGAGGGAGATGCGGGGTGACGCGAGGGAGACGCGGGGTGACGCGAGGGAGACGCGGGGGAGACATGGGGGAGACGCGGGGTGACGCGAGGGAGACGCGGGGTGACGCGAGGGAGACGCGGGGTGACGCGGGGGAGACGCGGGGTGATGCGAGGGAGACGCGGGGTGACGCGAGGGAGACGCGGGGTGACGCGAGGGAGACGCG